CATCCAGGTTAGTGCGATCTCATCGTTTCTTACTGGTGATGAGCTCCATAGCAATAGCAATGGCAACAGCCATTGGATTGAATTGCTTTGCTATGTGAATTTTTTTGCCGTTTTGTGGCTGCCGGTTAATCACTTGTGTGTGTGCAGAGGTGGAAAGACGTTAATTTGTTAAACCACGCGTTACCTTTGCCTGAGTAATCTCACACAGTTTAGGCATATGTATTGTCCGGAATCTAACACGTTTCGTGAACGTATCATGGGGAGTGCTTGTGTTTATCTACCCGACCACGATATCTGTCTCGCCCTACGATTGTCAGTCGACAAAATTGTTCGCGCCTCTCCTTTCATCTGGGCGCCTGAATGTGTCTTGTCCTCTTCTCTCTTAAATCCTTCAAATAGATACTAGTTTTAACTTGATCACGATTTTTTTTGACTCAGTTTCTGACCGTAATGGCCTTCATCAGCTGTAAACATGAATGCGCGAAAGTTAGACTCTAATGCCTTTGTTTGCTCCGGCATTATCTAACAGATAGGGTTCATATCCATACCAATAATTAATGAGAAAAATGTCTTGCCCATTCGAGTCAGTTGTTATCTTGAAAAAAAATCATTGACTTGCTGGTTCCTTTTTTTGAAACTTGTCGGTTGAAATTTGAAACTTCCCTCGATAAATGGATGTTTCCAGTGATTCTTATGCATGTTTTCTTTTTTGTGGGAAGCGAAAAAGATTGTCACTGAAGGGTTGAGTTCATCACAGGTCGTTGCTCGGGAAAGTCGAATGTGTTCACAAACACGGAGTAGTACGCTTAACCTGGCTAATCGTCCAAATTTGCTGTTGCTATTGATACAGTTACCACACACGCTGCTTTCTCGCTTCGACCTCATTTTCCTCATCCTCGACCCGCAAGATGAGATTTATGATGCGCGTCTGGCTCGTCATCTCGTGGGTCTCTACTATAAAGGCACAAACAATGATCGCTCGCGACGTGGAGGTATCGTAACTACTTCCGTGGATCTGGACGATGAGGATCCAATTTATCATGGCGATTCCGCGGCCATGCTGCGCGATTATATTGCTTATGCCAAGGTGAGCCTAACGTATCTGCCCTTTGATGGTTTGCCGTTTTCTTGATCACACGTGTATAGTTCCACTCCTGCCTTTTACGGCGGCTTAATTTGCACTAATCGTTCTCGTCTTATTCTTGCTCTTGGTTTTTTCCGAAATTTTATGGGGCATCTGAGTTTTGCGATTCAGATTTAATCCTCTTTTACTTCAGGCCATGTACCATCCAAAACTGAGCGAAGAAGCCAGTGAATATCTAGTTCGTGAATATGTCGAAATGCGAAAAATTGGTTCTAGTCGTGGACAGGTAAGTTGTAATTCTACATGTACATTTCTAGATTTACATTACATTAC